TTACACTAAAAATAATAAATTGAATTATATTATTAAACAAAAAATAAATTACTTTGTTATTAAATCTAATATATGTTAAATCTAAATTAACGTATATTAAAGAAAATTTATTTTTGATACTAATATAGATTTATTTTTTTCAAATTTGTATACTATATGCAAATTTATATTTAATTCAAAAATAAGAAATTATCGTTTTTCTTAAAACAATATAAAATCGTATTATATCGATAAAGAAAAATAAAAACTAAATATTAAAAAGAAAATTTATCTCGCTGTACTGCACGAATACCTTTTTAGTATAATATAATAGATCCATTTTCAGTTTAAATTTCATTCCGATTAAACTGAATGGAATAAAAATTCATTCTCATTTTTCATATTATTCCTTTTATCTAATTATGGCATAAAGCATTCCAACAGAGAATATATTCAAGTAAATAAAGAAATAGCGGCTTCTCTCTTTTCCCTCATCAATGGCTGCTCCCCTGCCCTCAAAATTTATTGATTCCTGAACAACTCTCTGCTTTTTAGAGAGAGACGATGAAGTAGAAAAGAAGCAAAGCTCTGGGCATGTTTCTGTCGTGAATGCCACTTTCACTTTCACTTTCACTTTCATCATCATCAACTTCTTTGTTTACCGCCTGATAAAATTTAACATTATTATTTACTTGCCGGTAAGATTTTAGTCCATTAAAACGACATCGTATGCAATAATTTACGCGGTAAGCGCTTACCGTGGTAAGAGTCGTCGCTCTCACTTGCTGGGTAGAACTCTTGATCGTTGCCTCATTCTTACCGGGTAAGATTTATAGTCCTTACTATATTCATCTGGTGAGGTAATATTACTTGATAAACACTTACCCAAATAAACATTTGTTAAACGGACCCTAATTCTTCAAGATCCCAATGGGGTTGTCAAAATTCCTCCCATTAAGCATTTTTTTTCCCAAATGGGTATTACTTTTTAGGGATTTTATGGCCTTTTCTTGAAGTTAATTTTAAGTAAAGACACCACCACCGCTAAACCAAATAAAAAGGAAATCCTCTATGATTAAGAAATTGCAAAAAGTCAACTATTTTCCTTTATAATACTTGGATGGATATACATGTGTCAGTGTACGTAAATACGCATGACACTGAGAAAAAAATGAACCAAAATAAATGCAAACGGCAGTCAGTCAGTCGGCAGAGGCTTCAATTCTTCTTCTTCTTATAACAATAGTGTGATTACATTTACAGTTTGAGGTCTCATTCATAAAATGGTTCCTACCAGCAACAAGCAAAGTGAAGAAGCCATTGTAACAGCAGCTGAAACAAAGGTTGGAAATGAGAGAGAGATGGATCAGTCGCTTTCTGGGTTCAGCAACTTTCTTTGGCATGGTGGCTCTGTTTATGATGCTTGGTTCAGTTGTGCTTCAAATCAGGTAATTTACATAAACACCCCACCCTCTCATCTATGGTTTCTTTCTTGAACACTTGGTTTTTTTGTGTAACAATGGCAATTTGTTGTGTTTCTTTTTTCTTTTACAGGAAAGATTGAATGTTTTTTGGTTTGTTTTGAAGGTGGCACAGGTTCTGTTGACTTTGCCATACTCATTTTCTCAAATGGGGATGAGTTCAGGAATCATACTGCAAGTGCTGTATGGTTTGCTTGGGAGTTGGACTGCTTATATCATCAGTGTTCTGTATGTAGAGTACAGAAGCAGGAAGGAGAAAGAGAATGTCAGTTTCAAGAATCATGTTATACAGGTTCATCTTCTCTTTCCCTTTCCCTTTCCCTCCAATAAAAAAAGAAATAAATTAAGGATTTATGGGTCTTGCATCCATTCTTTTCTTAAAATAAGACCTTTTCATTCATCTGGACGGTATGCATACCGGTAATTGAAGGATATCTTGGTTTTTATACATGATATGCATACATGTATACTAGACAAATTACTTAAAATTATCATTCTACACATGTGAATACTGTCTAGATTAACGGTTATCAGGTGTTTCTCAATTTTTATTTTATTTTTAATCTTACCCTATATATGTTAATGTTACACATATATTTGACACTCTTTTGATGGGTTGGAGATGCTCTATTATTTTAAGTTATTTCAAAAAACACAATATTTGGAATTAATAAACAAGAATCATTAGGAGAGAGTTTAACCATTCAATAGCTAAGAATTTTCATTACAAACATACGTCAAATGGGATATCGTAAAATGGGAAGAACATGATTGTTTTGACAAATTTAACCTTTAAATATATTCAATCTTCACAAAAGAGAAGTGCAATTTAGTAAAACGATATTTCATGTGAATGCATGATGCATATCTCAATGACATGTACATACGCTTATGCACATGACATGTATGCAGTGGTTTGAGGTGCTGGATGGTCTTTTGGGTCCACATTGGAAAGCTGTTGGGTTAGCCTTCAATTGCACCTTCCTCCTATTTGGCTCTGTTATACAACTTATAGCTTGTGCAAGGTTACCTAATTAATCATTTCCATCTAGTTGCCCCTCATCACTTCCAATTTGAGCTTCAAAACAGGGTCCTTTTTGACTTTTCACAACTTAACTGTGTGATACTTACAGCAATATATACTACATAAATGATCATCTGGACAAGAGGACATGGACATACATATTTGGAGCTTGTTGTGCTACCACTGTCTTCATTCCCTCATTCCACAACTACCGAATTTGGTCGTTTCTCGGCCTCGGCATGACAACTTACACTGCGTGGTATTTGGCCGTTGCAGCCTTGATTCATGGCCAGGTACGCTACTGCACGGTTTCTTGCTTTTCGGTGGTTTATGATTCGATACTTTTAAATTATGATGTATAGGATGAAGGAGTGGTTCACTCGGGCCCTAAAGAGCTGGTTTTGTATTTCACCGGAGCCACAAATATACTCTATACTTTTGGCGGACATGCTGTCACCGTGTTAGTACTTCTTTCTTTACCAATTTGAACTTAACTACGAGCGTTAGAATAATGATTTGAGGCATGCGGTTTTTTTTACAGAGAGATAATGCACGCGATGTGGAAGCCTCAGAAGTTCAAGTACATATATCTGTTTGCCACCTTCTATGTATTCACGTTAACACTTCCATCGGCTGCCGCCATGTATTGGGCCTTCGGTGATCAACTCCTTAACCACTCGAATGCCTTCTCTCTCCTTCCCCGTACTGGTTTTCGTGATGCTGGAGTCATCCTTATGCTTGTACACCAGGTTTTTTCTTCGTTACGACAAAATCAACTTTTTAGAACCCTTTTGAATAAGTCGTTTTATTAATGTTTTTATATTACATTATTTGAAAAAAACGACCTTTAAAACCAAATGTCCTGTAAAAAGATGTGGGCCCTCTAAAAAGATGATCTGATTGATGGGACGCATAATTGTTTGGTTTTATATAAGCTGAAATCTTATAAAGAAGTCTATTAGGACATTTAGACATAATTGATTTCTTAACAAGTCGATTTTGCTGTAGCGAGTCTTGAGTTCAATTCATTTTCTTTCTAGTTTTTACATGAATAACCATTCGGTTGTTCTTATTTCATCCTTCTGTAGTTCATCACATTCGGTTTTGCTTGTACACCACTGTACTTTGTGTGGGAGAAAGTGATCGGGATGCACGACACAAAGAGCATATGTTTACGGGCGTTGGCAAGGCTGCCAGTTGTGATACCGATCTGGTTCTTGGCCATTATCTTCCCGTTCTTTGGTCCAATTAATTCAGCTGTAGGGGCTCTCTTGGTTAGCTTCACCGTCTACATCATCCCTGCTCTTGCACACATGCTTACGTATCGAAAGTCTTCCGCTCGTCGGGTATTTCATCAATTCCGCTCTAGCAAGTTTTAGGTGTTTTACCAAAGGGTCATTGGCCACATAGGTATTAGTAGGGTATTGGTAGAGCTAGCTTCTCAGGAGGTTAGAGGTTCCGGTAATTGGTAGAGTCAAGTTTCTCAGGAGGTCAAGGGTTTGAACCTCTGACCTTATGAGAGGCCAAAAGCCCAAATACCTCTAGGCCAAAGGCCCTTTGATAATTTTTAGGCGTTTTTGGGGCAAAATTTAGTTCTCGTGTTCTATTCAGCCTGAAATCTTGAATTTAACCGAATCGAAAATTTCACTATGTTCTTTTGAAGTGCTTAATGGAAGATTGTGCCTTACGCTATAGTTGTTGTAAACTACGTTGTGGTTGCAGAATGCGGCAGAGAAACCTCCGGTCTTTCTACCGAGCTGGACGGCTATGTACATAGTGAACATCTTCGTTGTTGTTTGGATTTTGGTGGTGGGATTTGGATTCGGGGGATGGGCAAGCATGACAAACTTCATCAAACAAGTTGATAGCTTTGGGCTATTCGCCAAGTGTTACCAGTGCAAGGCGGCACCACCACCACGACGATCGCCGCCAGCACATCATTGAATCCGAACTCACTACAAACCTTTTTCTTATACCAAGTTTGTTCTAGCTCAACTTTAGTGTGTAAATGGCTTGATGAATGATGTTAAATCAACTTGGGCTATGATAAAAAAAGGATGGCCTAGGTCTGGTGTTACTTCGGTGTTCTCACCATATTTAATGGATATATTGCAACATATTGGTTTTTGAGACCATAAAACCTCCTTAAAAGCTTACTGAATAAACTATTTTGTATATTATTAAGTCACTACTGAATAATCATATATAATTTATCGAATAAGCTATGAGTCTTCATTCTATGCTAACTATACATCAATTTTCTTCATTCTATTTTGAAATTAACGCTTACCTCCTTGTTCTCTTGTGATTTACTACGAATAAAAGGAAAGGAAAGGAGTGGGAAAAGAAAAAATCTCGTGTTTCTTGAGTTTATAGAAATGAAAGAAAAAATAAAGATGATTTTCCTTCCAAATATCCATTGTAAAATATATAAGAGTGAACCATAAAGATGATACCTGATTGGTTTGAGCTTGACAAACAATGAAATGAAAGATCAAAGGATTTTTTACCCAATTTTTGGCACACCTCGACCGTTGCTAATGGCCCGCTATTGAGGGCTATGACGACGTCGTATTGTGATTCTATATTGAGGAAAAATATCACCGTCAAGAGAGCTACCCTTATCCTAACAGAAACTGAAGAGCATACTGCTCTCGCCAATGGCGTTAATGGCGCTCACCATTGCTTCTCTTCCAATTGCTTCCGCCTCTGCTTCTCTTTCTTTCTCTCGTTCTTGTTCCCCTACTGTTATTCCCCTATCTTCCTCAATATCTCTCACCTCCTCAATTCAACCACTAAGTGCGTGAAACTTAAATCCACTTCTCCTTTTAATTTGTGCAGTTTTAAGCTTGACTGAATTTTGTTTTGATTGCTTGAGTTTCAGTTTATTGCGGAAGAGGAGACAAGAAGACTGCTAAAGGAAAGCGATTCAATCACTCCTTTGGGAACGTGAGTTTTTCTATCTTCTCGATTTTAGGGTTTCAAATTTCGTTCTATTGCCTGCGTAAGTAGAAGTACATTCAACATTTTCCGATTCGAATCAATTCTTCCGCAGTTCAATTCTTTTTTATGAAGTTCGAGAAATTGCATTTTTGTGATTGAAAAGTTAACTTCAATTATTCAAATTTATCGGCTTCAATTGAAGTGCTTGGCTTTGACTTTGAAATATCGAATGTGTTATTTTACTTGTCAAACCATTTATTAAAATCGATACTTCAGATTGGATTTAACAACACTTCTTACATATCGAAAACTGTTGGTGTTTGTTATTGATAAATGCTAGAACTGATGATCACATACACAAATATAAACGTACGAAATGGAAAAAAGATCAAATACTGTAGTTACTGTTTACATATGGTTTCAATAATCTTTCAATATCTAGTGTTGCTGGGATTTTTATTGTATTTCGTGAATTCTTAGTGATATTGATGAGTTCAGTCATTGTAGATTGCCCCTCATATGAGAAGAAACACATGGCAATCGATAAAGATAGAAAACTATCAAACTAATTGTTTCACTGTCATAATTGATGTAAATATTTCCTTACAAAGATCCATGAACTTGTAGACCTGATTTACAATAAGAACGAGCTCTTTATCCAACGAAAGTCCTAGGTTTAGATCAAAATGAGACTTTTTTGTGGAATTGAAGGTAATTGTGATATGTGAGTGAACAGGCAAGACCAAGGAACAAGAAGAAGGGCAGAGGACCACCCAGGGTGCCAGTGCCACCAGCCCCACCGAGGAAGGACCGCTTCGACGACGGTGAGGTTGTTAAGATTGAGATTAACGAGTCTCTCTTCTCTGATAATTGAAACATTTGTTTGCTTTTCTTGTTTCATGTTGTTGGGAAACTTTCTCTGTTGTATTGTTTGCTTTAGTTCCCTATTGGAGAACAATCAAATTTCTGAAATGGTAAATACGCCATTTGAATGGTTTTAATATCCACCAAAGGGTTTGACGTCGTTCTCTGGTTAAGAACTGGGAACCAAATACGAGAGGTTGAAGTTATTGTCATCTAGTCGATGCAGCCTTCGTAACCTACAGGAGAAAACCTAGGTATGAATTCTAGATTAAAATTAGAAGTCCCGACCATTTGGGAAAATCCAACCAAGGATGTTCTGTTTGTTTTTTTCAAGGTTACCACCTTATGTTATCTAGTTGTGAGACTACTTGTCCAGGTTCCCATATGCCCTATTGGACAAATCCATCCAAGGATATTCTGCTTGTTTCTTATTCCTTAAGGTTGCCATCTTATGTTCTTGTGGTTGCGTGACTCTTGGTCTTGACTCTCATGTGCCCCATTATGTGGTTCTGTAGTTGTTTCTCTTGTCTCTTGACAGTGCAGGTTCTATGGTTATTCACTTTGGATCATAGAGTCACCATGTCCATTCTTAGGCCACAAAGCAAGCCAAAAGAACTCAGCCCATTTCACACTGATGTAGGGTTCAGGAAGGATAAAGTGTGCATAGTCCTTTCCTCTACCCCTTGGATCATAGAGGCTGTTTCGTGGAGGCTCCTACTTGCGAAAAAAAGCTTTATGCAAAACAGGTCTTGAAAAAAGAACTGGATTCTTACGCTACCCTGAAAGTGTGTCAAAAAACTATACATGAAGTTTAGAAGAGTTTGGTTCTAGGCATCCACAACAATTGTGGCCACTGAGAGCTGATGTCTTGCGGAATTTTGTCGGGATTAGTCTGGACAGGGATTAGTCTGGACATGACATGAGACACCCTTCCAAAAAATGTTTAGAAGAGAGAATGAAAAGCAAGTGAAGAAGTTAGGGCAAGTAATGACTATAAAAGCATGAGGAGAAGTACTAATCCCACCCTGCTGTTACCACTCCAACCCCTCCCGCAACCACATTAACCCCAACTCTTTACTTAAAATCACGAGTAAACTACGATTTTCGTCCCAATGGTTTGTTATTTATAACTATTTTCATCCGTGGTCTTTAAAATTTGCTTTTTTGGTCCTTGTGGTTACCATTTTGTTTTGTTTTTCGTCCCTGTGACTAATTATGTTAGATTTCAGACCTTAACTCAAGGGCATTTTAGTCTTTTCAATTTTAGTTTATTTTTTTTTATTAAACCATAATATTATATTCAAACCATACTTTTTATACAAACCTTACAAACCAATTATATTTATCTATTTTCATGATCAAAGACCACGATTAAAACAAGTTATTTTAATAAAGTAAAAAAATAAACGAAAACAAATTGTTATTATTTTCAACAAGAAAGGGTAAAATGGGAACAAATTGTAAACTGTTGCGATCATTGAAATCTCTTTTTCCACATTCAATCCCGTGAACATGTTTCATTCTAAACTATTAATGATGAAATATAATGAAATTGTGGCATTGGACAGAATGAAAAAATTGTTAATGATGAAACAAAATGAAATTGTTAATGATAAAACAGAATGAAATTGTTAATGATGAAACAGAATGAAATTGTTAATAATGAAACAGAATGAAACTGTTAATGATGAAACAAAATGAACTCTGACATTTGACAAAATGAAACAAAATGAAACTGTTAATGATGAAACAAAATAAAACAGTTAATGATGAATATGTTAATGATGAAACAGAATAAAACTGTTAATGATGAAATAGAATTATCTAGAAACTATAAAAATGAGATATTTTAATAAATGATGAAACTTAAAAATATTCTTTAATCAACAATTATTGTATATTTTTCAAAGATGACAATTTGTATCAACATATTTAATGGATACATCAATTAAATATTTACTAAAAATGTGCTAGCTAATCAAGATATAATTCATATCTAGATTAAATTAAAGAATTACCAAACTTATCTATTAGTATTAAATACTTACCAAACATAACTATTGTAATTTCAAAAGACCATAATGCCCTTAGAAATTAAAATTAAAGAAAAACAAATGGATTTATGTGATTGGTTGTTATTAGTTCGTATGATTTGTATAAATTGAGGCGGTTTGTATTTAAAACGCTTCTCTCTCTATATATGTATATGTATATATATATATATATATATATATATATATAGGGGCAGGTTCAAATGCAAACCATCTAATTCTAAAAAACCGTGTAAACCAATTTCGACCAATAAGAAAATTCCATTTTTTTTAAAATTAAATTTAATTGATAAGGGTATTTATGTCATTTTACACAATTTTTTTGATAATTAAGGAAGTTATTAATACATTTTATTTAAGGCAATTTAATAAAAGAAAGTATGAAAATGGTAACGTTTCAAACTTTTATTATATTATATTATTAAAATCTTGATTTTTAATTATTTGGTATGCAATGAATCTGGAAAGCTTGTATGAAGATTATATCAACTTTAGGAATAAAATGGTGGGTTGAGGTTGGAGAAAAAAAAATCAATGTTCATGAAACTGTATTAATATGAAAAAGTTTCATCGTAAAATGATTTATTTTCTTCTTCAATGCATATGGTATATATAAATGAAATAGGTTCATGATGGTAGAATGAACAYGAAACGGGTTCATGGTGATCAATGTTGCATTGTAATCGAAGTTGATCAGTTTAGTTGGTAGAATGAACATGAAACGGGTGCATAATRRATTTTGTTMGTTATGAAATATACGTATCATGAAACGGGTGCATAATATATTTTATTGTATATGAAATTAATCTGCATGTAAAAATTTCAATGTGAAAAGGTTTCATTGTAAAATATTTAATGAAATAGGTTCATGATGGTAAAACATTTTCATTTTCTAATTGATTCGTGATTCATGAACTAGTTTCATGGTGATCAATGTTGCATTGTAATCGAAGTTGATCAGTTTAGTTGGCAGAATGAACATGAAACGGGTGCATAATGGATTTTGTTCGTTATGAAATATACCTATCATGAAACGGGTGCATAGTTAATGAAATAGATTCATGTAAAATAGTTAATAAAATAGTTAATGAAATAGATTCATTGAATAGAATGAACATGAAACGGGTGCATAATGGATTTTTGTTCGTTATGAAATATATGTATCATGAAACGGGTGCATGGTTAATGAAATAAATTCATGTAAAATAGTTAATAAAATATATGTTATTGTACATGAAATTAATGTGCATGATCATTGAATTGTATGAAATTGATGCATAATGTAAGATTATATTTTTAATATATTTTTTTATTTCCTTAAATAAACTAAAATAATCTTTTACACTTTTACCCTTATTGATGATATAAGATTATATTTTTAGTATGTATTTTTTTTATTTCCTTAAATAAACTAAAATAATCTTAACCGTTGATCAATAAAATGGATGAATGAGATTGTTTTACACGGTTTCTTAGAATTGGGGCGGTTTTTATTTGAACGCTCCTCTATATATATATATGTATATGTATATATATATATATGTGTGTGTGTGTGTGTGTGTGTATATATATATATATGTGTGTGTGTGTGTGTTATACGTATGTACCCTCAACCTGAAAAATTTCACCCCAAGAACTGGACATCGCTTCTCCCTTCCGCAGAGACCTCCTCCCTTCTCCCCTCCATCTCCGATGAATACCACCACCACGTCCAACGACCACCATCATTAGCAACAACCCTGTCCTACTGGTTTCTTCCCATTGATCTCCTTATCTGCCCTCTTCGCTCTCAACATTTCTTCTTCCCCTCGCCCCACCACCGCTCCGATCCCAAACCACACCACTCCAATCTCGATCTTCAGACCCATCTCGATTCTGTTTTTGGTTTTGGCTATCAATGTCCAACCTTCCTAATTGATTTTGTTTTTGGTTTTACACAGTGAAATGAAGTCTTTCAAAAATTCTACCTACATATGCTTTTTTATTTGAAGAGATTTATGTTGCCACCAATGTGTTTTTGCACAGGCAACTTCATAAAAATCTAGTGTTTTTCAACTTCACTTTTTAGTATTTTGGTTTCCCTACATTTGCAAAACCTACCCATCCAAACCATCCTCCGATGATTCATGTTGTTGCTCGGGTGAAATAGGAACACCCAGATTCCATTCATATTTTATACATTGAAACAAAAATCATTTTGGGTTTTGTTTGTTCTAGAAAAAAAGGGAGTGGGAACATGATGGCTGACGTCGATTAGGAATGAGCAGGGAAGAAGATGATGGGTGGGGGTTGCCAGGTCAAGTGGGTGGGGATGGGGTATATTAGGTTTGGTTTGTTTTAGGGACAAAAAAACAAAAGGAATTGCAAACCACAAGGACAAAAAAGCAATTTTTAAAGATTAGAGACGAAAATAGTAATAAGCAACAAACCACAGAGACAAAAAATCGTAGTTTACTCTATAATCAATTACACTAGTCTGCATCTCCACAAACTCCTATGGGAGATCATGCCTTCTAAAATATCTTCGTTCACAAATTCAATGTTGATTTTTTGGTCTCTTTGACAAAGCAGTTTCGTGTGTTAAGGTCTTCTTTATGTTCTTTTTGGGAGGGGAGGGGAGTTGAAGCATCCGAATCATGGTAGTCTTTGAAAACAATGAAAACTTCCCATAATCCAAAGCAATGATAGTTATGGGAAGAAGATATAGGGTTCAAGTTCTCAAACCTTACCAGTTACTAACGGCTAATCGACCCCATATCTGACATACCCCTTGTCATATATGCGTAATTATTAATACAACATACAGGTTGGATCTGGAGGTGACCAATTTGAAGTCGGGTTTGGTCCAATATATCCATAAGAACCCACTCCATCTATTCCTCTGTTGGAGGCATCTAGACAATGTATATCAACAATTTGAAGGCCCAGTGTATATCAACGTTCTGCATATTTCATTATAGGATCGTGCAACTGACATATTTCGTGAATTCACTATTATATGATAAGCAATGAGGTACGGTTCCCTTTACAATAGGAACCTACCAAGTTGTGTTCCAAGCCCATAGGGCTCTTATTATACTTTTTATTTTGAAGGAAGATTTTAGTCAAAAGATGTACTTGAGATTCGTTGCAATTCATGCAACGGTTCTAAAGCACTTGGCATGAGAAGTCATACGAGAATCCATACATTCTTTATCAATACATGTCTATCTCTCGAATATTAATTAATTAGGTTGTCCTAATTTTCCATTTTAAAAATATTAATCTTTATTTTTTTATTTATTTATGCTCGATGCTCCCCTGGTTCAAAATCCTAACTCCCAAGCTCTTACGTTACCTTTTATTTCCAATGGTAAATTGTGGAACTTCAACTTTATTTTCCTTACAATTTAATTTGAGTTTGTGTTTACTTTGCTCTTTTATTAATAAAATAATACAAACCACACGGGTGATACTTAATTGGTTTGAGCTTGATTCCAAAGGTCAAAAATACTTGGAGGTCTCAGGTTCAATTCAATGAGGAATAAAAATCTTCTTGTAGCCATGGAGGTTCAAATGCGGTGACTCCATACTATCTGCAAAGCAGGTGGTCATCCTGGGATTAATCGGCTCGCATAACGAGTTGGATATCTAAGTTAATAAAAAAATACATATATTATTATAATTCACTTCTGTTTTGGCAAATATTTTATAACATAAACAATCATATTAAAAATAGCTTTTACAACCAACGTATGCGATTGGAAACAAGTTTTACGACCATATGGACAAAGAGACCCGCCAATTCCTAGGTGGATGTCTCTGCGTAGCAGCATATAACTCCCTCCCAAACGATCTAACAAACCATCATCAACGAATTACACCCTGCTATCATGCACCATATGCGCTTTATAAACCCACTGACCACCATGAATCAAAAAAGTTGTAGCTATGTCCCACTCCCTCTCTCTTCTCCTCCTCCTCTCCGCCGTCGCTACCGCTTCCGCCACCACCATTGGTGTCACCTACGTACCCACCCCAACTCTACCACCACCTGAACAAGTCGCCACCGCCCTCCGATCCTTAAAAATTACAGCCGTCCGCCTCCCTGTCGCTGAACCTTCCGTCATCCGAGCCTTCTTCTACACTAATATCTCCCTCTTCCTTTCCATTCCAAACTCCCAACTCCATTCCATCTCCGCCAATCGCTCCGCCGCCTCCCTCTGGCTCTACACTCACGTTGTCCCTTTCTATCCACGTGCACTCATCACAGCAATCTCCGTCGGGAGTAACGTCCTCGCTGATGGAGACCCTACCTCCGGGGACGTCCTCCTCCGCGCCGTGCGTAACGTCCATCAATCCCTCATGGATCTCGGAATACGAAAAATCACCGTCTCCACGACTTTCTCGTTTGTGAACATCATGATGACATCGTTTCCGCCTTCCTCCGCGGAGTTTGAAGAACCGACTAATAATGCCGTCCTTAAACCCTTACTTCAGTTTCTAACCGAAACGAATTCCTCCTTCTTCGTGAATTTATATCCTTATGTTGTTTACAAATTACGCCCCGAGATCCCAATCGGTTTTGCTCTCTTTCAACAACAGGCTTACAACTTCAGAGACGACGCAATCACCGGTGTCAGGTACCGGAACTTGTTCGATCTTATGGTGGATGGTGTTATCGCCGCATTGACTATCTCAGGACACGAGAACATTCCAATAGTTGTGACGGAGACAGGATGGCCGAGCTCCGACTTATCAAACGAAGCAGAGAATCATCAAATATATGCTGAAATGTACCTACGGGGTTTGGTTTATCATCTCCGATCTGGTAGAGGTACACCGCTGAGGAAAGATGGGGTGGCGGAGGCTTACATTTACGAGGTGTTTGATACAAACACTAGCTTAGAGAACCAAGCAGCTATGAGAGTGGGGACAGGACAGAATTGGGGGTTTTTGCACCCCAACTTGTCACTAAAATTCGAAATCAATTTCTCCGGCGGTTTCCCTACCACCACAGCAGCGCTGGCAAAGGTAGTTCTTGGATTTCTACTACTGGTAACTGGTTTATTGGTGTTCTAGTGGTTTTTGCAAATCTTTTTGATAACACGATTAGTTGAGCGTAGACATGGTGATTAGGGACACACCATTGATAATCTGTGGTGAGGGTTAGTAGTGATTAGTGATTGGATTAGGTAAATATATTTGAGAGGAAGGATTAATAGCATTAGAATATCAGTATGTTATGGTAGCATGGATGAAGTATGTCATTATTTTGCTGTTCTTGTACATGATGGCAGCCATGGTGGTTTAACTTTCTTCACAAATGAAAATTTGCACGTAACTTTCTCGTTTCATTTCAAATAGTTGAAACAAAACCATGGTGTTTAATAAAAACCATATATAATAGGATGATTTGGGGGGGACAAGGCTGTTGATGTGCTCCATTGCAATTTGACAAACACAAGCAACATAATCAACTCCCTTTTCTTGTTAGAAAAAAACTAATCTCTTTCATCTTACAGCTTGGTTGGATACAATCTTCATCATCAACTAACATTGAAAAACTAGAGATCATAACTGGTTGGGTCTTTGTAGGGTGTTTTCAGCTGTTAATCAAGTTGAAATGGGGCAAGTGTTTGGTGTTTTGGGACTCAAAAGTGTTGGCAAATTTGGATCGTCTTTGTGTTTTACCCAAGCTGCTTCAAACTGCTGGGCTTTGCATCTGAAAAACAGAGAATAAACATGAATTGGGTTAAGTATTGGAAGGGGGGATATGAGTAAAAGTAGAATTGGTTGAAAGTATTATACTGTCGAAGCAGGATGAGTATGTCAACGATACGAGCTCGTATATCTTGTCTTTCAACTTTGAGTGATGCATCCTTGTATAGTATCACCAACTCATCTACCAATCTGGGAACACATTACAGTAAAGCTTTTGTGCATTTTTAAGTACTGGGTTCAGCAGAGAAACATTACCTGTCATAATATGGTGAATACCGTATCCAAGTGAACTTTATAACTGTTTTCATACGCTCCAGGACCTGCAAATTAAGATCTTCCCTCAACAAACTTACAAAGTAAATGGCAAACCCATATCTGAATATGCCATACCATATAGTGGTTCAACAAATGGAACAACAAAAACAAAATCTAAGGCTAAAAAGATATGTATTCCAGTTTAATTAAGATAATCTTCCTGTTGCAAATCGTTAATATTCATTTTGGGAAGAAAAATGCAAATGCAAATGCAAAGTTCATTCAAATCGACAGAAAGAAAAAACACAATAAGGTTCCAAAGAGCTACCAGTAGAACAGTTTCATCATCATCAGCATGCATCCACTTGAAGAAAAGCGGGAAAAGGCGCCTGAAATGAGCTAACAATACAAGACCCATGCCACGGAGAAGTGGCTCAATGTGCATAAGCCATGAGATACGGCGTTCCTTAGAGCTTGGTTGTCGCCATAAGTGGCTTAACATCTCATTTACAAGCTTCTCAAACCTACAGGAACACCAAAGAGTATCAAATCTATAAACAATACAATTCTCCCAGGAACATTTATGACTTGGAATAGGAGAGCACTCATCTTGGGGTGGGCTTACTACTTAGATGCTTTCAGCAGTTATCCAATCAGAAAATGTTACAAAATTGAGACCAACCTGCTGGTTCTTTTTCTGAAGTAGCAACGGGAGAATTCATCCCATGATTAATTAAAATTATTGGTGCCTCCAACATTCGAATTTAACAATTGAATTTAGGTGTATTTTTTCCAATACATTATCCTCATTCTGTTCCGGTACTTGATGCTAATATGAATTATAGGATTAACTAGTAGTTTAATTAGCTTGAAAACACATAAACAATCAAGATAAATTTAGTAATTTAATCTATTAGTAAATTAATCATTTACATCTGTTTAACCTAAGGCTTTGAAAGAAAATAGAAAAAGGATAACAAAAGTTCTCTTGTTCTACCTAAGGCGGGGGCCATTTAACAAAACAAAAAATACTCCCTATCCCAAAATAAGTTTTCACGTTTCTATTTTAGTTTGTTCTATAACAAGTTTCCATATTTCTTTTTTAGTTTGTCCCAAAACAAGTGCCCGCTTTCAAAAGTGAGTGTCTCGTTTCCAATTATACCCTTAATTATGATATGGAGAAATTCATTACTCCCCTCTATTATTAAGGGTAAGATTGTCATTTAGTTGATTAAAAAGTTCAATAATTAATGTGTCTTTTTCATTGTGGACATTTGTTTTGGGATAGAGGGAGGAGGTGGAGATCATCCCCATCCCCACTCCTCTCCACCCTTGAGTATCTTTTTTTTTTTATTAACCTGGATATCCAACCCGCTATGCGAGCCGACTAATCCCAGGGCGACCACCTGCTTCGCAGATAGCCCGGAGTTACCGCATTTGAACCTCCGTGGCCACAAAGGGATTTTTATTCCTTCTTGGATTTGAACCTGGGACCTCCAAGTACTTTTGACCTTTGGAGTCAAGCTCAAATCAATCAGGCACCACCCTTGTGGTTACTCTTGAGTATCTTTGTTGCAGTCTTTTGTTGTATTTCATTCACCGTCTCCATATGTAAGTTGGGATATTGTTCCCTTCACACACCAATATGGCATTTGTTTTTCCTTTTAATTTTCTTCATTCCAGTTTAATTTCGTTGAGAAGGAGATGCCAGCAAATGATGAGCCAACCGGAAGCAATAAAAGAAAGGGTAGGAGATAAAATGATACCATGGGCTACGAGGATTGTTTTGTTGCGTACAAGTCACAAGGAGCACTGACATCTCAACCACATGCTCCCATATTTCGTCACTGGAAGCAATATTTTGGCAGCACGCATCTAAGATCACATCTTCATACAAACTAAACTCACCAGAATTCACATGTTTTGCAAGATGTATGAAGGTGATCATTCCCTGCCCCTGACATAATAAGAGTCAAGAATTGCAGCCACGAGTTAACACTTTAACATAATATGAACTACAGCATAGCACACATGCTAGTGGGTGTAAATTATGTTAGAAAACAACCTAAAAGAAACCGATGTTTATAGTATTACTTATCAATATCACTTTCAATGAAATAAACATATGAGCATAAAACTAGGAAAGGAGTCCGATGTGGTCACAAAATGTAGAAAAACATCATATTTCGATAAGGATGGTGCAATCAGAAATCACCTCTATACGGTAGGGCCTTACTTTCACCAGAAAAGCAAGGAACCCACTCAGATGGAGGAAAACGTTTACACATACATATCACTTCAAAGAACGGAAACTTATATGGAACCTAATCATTTTACAGAAGATATCACCAACGATTAGAATAAGTACGGTCCAAGACTCTTAAATAAGTTTTGTAGATCTAAATATGCATGATTCATGATTACAACCATCCAAGTCTCAGAAGAATATTAGTGGGCCCTTGAGTTTTATGTCCTGATGCTCATGTGGTACTCTGCAACCATTAGGAGTGTAACAATTATCAGGTGTAAATCTATTCCCATACCAATATAAATTGTTTAACTTTCATCTCTGGATGGATATACTGCTTAACTTCTTATAGCCTGATGCAATCCCATTGGTTGCATAGCGACCCACGGTTTCAAGACTACTGAAATTTCTTCCAATTGATACTGAAAGTAACCTACAATCAACTATATTCAAAGACATAACATAGGCCGTCCTCCTCTATGGTCTACAACTTAGGATTATTCTGTTGGAGCCGTGCTTGCACTGCATGATGATGATAAGAAGAAGAGAGCTTTGGACTAATTTAATTTAGCTAAGTTGTTCAATGATAATAATGCATAAAAGAAATTCACAGCTATGGAGAAAACCTGTGCAGCAGTCATAGCAGCGCTTTCAGGTTAAGTTAYGAAACTAAAGTTTATTTTCGGGGAAGCTTCCCGAGCGAGCAAATCTATTCTACGATTGGTATTGTGCCCAACCGAACAAATCTCTTCTCTTGTCTGTTATTTTTCTTTTGAAGTCTTCCCCTTTCGATAGTGTCAAATACAACCCCAAGCAATAGTCAAGAAGAAAAACTCAGGACTAGGAAAGAAAGGCAGAGACAGGGAAAGATTTACAGCAAAGGTAGTTCGGTAAGCCTCGTCATCTAGTATGACCAAAGCATTAGCCCTGTCTCTATCCTTCCGCTGAGGGCTCATAGACTGGCCTAGTGAGGTGTGATCACAGGTCCGGGACAAGGTACTCAGTCGTGACCAAGTATGCGATCCTATCTGTGCAGATTTCCCAGCAGCACCGATACTTGGAACCACACACATTCAAGAACAGTATCAACATGAAAGGAAGATTATATATACAGTAAATATAAGCACCCACAAATGAAACAAGCCTTTTATCCCAAACTATTGAAGATAGTAAGCATTAAAACCAAAACTTCGATACATACTTTCACTTCTGGCGACCAATGATCAAGAGCTGTGAGTGCACAGGGAATAATCAACGAACATACTTTTCCCAATTGCGATAAATCAACCTATCATGAAGACGATGAATTTCTTAGAAAAATTAAGCATAAAACAAACCCTAGTTATTTATTTGCAATTTTTTCAGTAAGGGCAGGAATCAAAACCTGTGTGACAAACCATTTAAGCTGATAAGCAGCCACAATAGCATAAGCAACTGGAACCCCTGCCGAGGCAGCAGAAACCTCATCACCATCAGCATCCACCTTATCGATCGAACTTTCCTTGATACTTGTTTTAAGCAAAGGCAAAAGTGTAGGCATCAATTCGATTACCAAGTCCTTCTCCTGATCATCAGAAAAGGCTTTACATAGTTCTCGAAATGCAGAATCCGCAGAATTCGAAAGAGAAACGGGAATCCATGAGAGTTGATCATACGTCGAGGTATGAGAAGAAGCCAAAGCGGCACATAGTAAGCTGAAGTTCGTCAATTGGGATTGAACATCGCAGTCGTCGTGGCTGTTTCTCGGAGGTAAAAGCGATTCAAGGAGAAGTTTGATTGAAACGTTGGATAAGTCCGATGGTTTGTAGGAAGTTCTGGATAGTGATTCTCGGATTGATTCTGATAAACTGCGTTCCGACAGAAATATCAGTGTAAAAGAAAGTGATACGTAAAGTATAAGGGTCAAAGAGAGATGGAGAGCTTACAGAATGAGGATGTTATGAAGATGGGAGAAGGAAGTCGCCATTTTTGCTGCTCTGAAAGCGCACCTTGAACAAAGTGAGGCAGGCCTCTTCCACCACGGTTTTCTTTACAAGTGGGATGAAAAATGAGAAAATCAAATTTAAAATATTTACGTATCAACTTAGAATTATTTAATTTTTTAAAAAATTATTTATTATTCAAATATTTAAAAGTGATTATTAACGATGTTACACCGAAATAAGTTAATAAATTATTTTTATAAGTCATCTCAAATACCTAGAGCAAAATATCAAAATAGCCCACGAGTCACGTGACATCAAAAAAGCTCTCTCTTTCTGAGCAAACTCTAATTTTGGTTTTTAAATGTAACCTAAACTTTGATAAGTATAAAAATATAATTTTTATGGTTCTCAATTCTTTTAAAAATAGTCTCTAATCATATGAAAGGATTGGCCAAGAAGACAAAGTGTAGAGGTTAAAGAAGGGGTTTTTACGGGCTCAAGCATGCTCCACGAGCCTGATACAGTCGAATTGAAGCACACTTGAAAAACAATGGATTCATGAATGTCCTCACAAACACACCGTATTCCTGAAAACTAACCAGAAAAGTAACATACATACTACTTGTTTGAATTTATGTTGATGATATTATCGTAACTAGAAATTGGGTTGCTATGATTGAGGAATTCAAGTTGTCCATGAAGTCCGAATTTGACATGACAGACCTAGGAGAATGCTCACTCTTCTTCCTTGGAGTTGAAATAGCACAAAGAAGGAATGGGATATTCATATGTCAAAGGAAGTACATGTACAGGTTATCAACTCAACTCGAGAGTGTTTCGATACATTAAAGGAACCTTGGAGTATGAGTATGGAATGTGGTACCAGAAAAATGGAAACAGAAAGATGACTCAAATCATGCAAGGGATGTTAAGACTCGAACAAGTACATCGGCTTATGCAATGATGTTATGTTATCAGATGCAGCATCAGCAATCTCATGGTCATCCAAGAAGCAACCAATAGTTACCTTGTCTACAACAGAGGCTGAATTTGTGTCGTCAGCAAATTGTGCTTGTCGAGTAATTTGGTTACGCAGAATTCTTCAGAGCATTGACTACCCTAGGAAGGAGCTACTGTGATATTATGTCGACTATAAAGCTTTCAAAAAATCTTCTTCTTCGTAAGATAAGCATTAAGCAACGTAACATTTCACTTCCTTCGTGATTTGGTGAATACAGGTATAGTTGACCTAAATTACTGCAACACAGAAGTTCAACTTGTAGACATTATGACAAAACCTTTGAAACTTGAGGTGTATGAGAAGCTACAAAGCATGCTTGGAGTAAGGGAAGCAACATAGTTAAACTGGAAACAAACGGAGTGTTTCAGTTTAGGGAGGACATGTTGGGGCTGCTGGTCATTAGCACGTTGATGGAATTGGTCTCTGGTTTACTAATTATCGTCTTCATTGAATAAAGCTCCTGGAGTATTTTTGATACCCTTTATTCTATTCTTTTTTTCTAGCTTAGTTTGTTGCTTACCGTTGTTTTGTAAGGCTATTGACGGGTGTCGAGTCCGGCAAATAATAGAATTTTATGAAAATAAGCCTATTATCTCTAAAATACAATTTGTGATAGCGATAAGTAGGGTCGTCTCCTCAAAGACGTACCGAGTGCAAATTCATAAAAAAAATGTATCTAAATGTAAAAAAAGGGGGGGTGGGGTTGGAAGATTGATAAATAGCCTAATTATGCAAATAAATTGAGAATTTTAAACAATAATGAGAACGAGACTAGCGATGGGCATCAATCAACTAATCCTTTGGATTATATATCATCGACTTATTCAAACCGTTTTCTCAAAAGAAACCAAGTTGGTTAGGACATCGACACGCGTCAATATTCTGTTCGTTATAAAAGCAAGATCAGTCTTGAACACTCTACGACTAACCTCTAATTAGCTAATCAAACCTAGTCACGGACTTAGAATTTAATTGCCACTAGCACTAACATCAAACAAACCCAACACTAACCGACAATCGGGCGCCTATTGTTTAAAGTAGATTATACGATCTTACAACATCATCATTTAACATAAATGTCAACTGTGTGTCGTGCGAAAAGCAATTACGGACTTAAAGGCTTATCTAATAACTCGAAATTGAATTAGACATAACAAGGGATCCTGCTCAAAATATCCAACTCAAAATGATAAACATTAACTCTAAAATCGCATAAATAGCTTCAAATGATATGTTGAAATCGACGTAAGTCTCAACGAATCCAAATTCAAAGTAATCACATTCCCGTTACTAGAAGTTTGAAAATTAGCTACACATACTAGGAATTGGAAATCGAATAATTACAAAATGCTTGTAAAATTGGAATTTAGGAACAACCCTATAAACCCCGCTCCAAAATCGACTCCAAATCTGAAATCGATTCCTGCCTCTGGCTTTCGTTCCTCTCGTCCAGTTCAATCTCTTTCTCGATCGATAATTTCTGCTGCTTCTCGAAAAACCTCTCAATCGACAGCTTCAAAATCCTATCGATCAACAGCTTCAAAATCTTCTTAATTGACAGATTCTGGGTCTCGTATTGATCGATATCCACTTCTCTCAATCGACAGGTTCTCGTCTCTCAATCGACAAGTTCTATCTCGAGCTCGCTTCCGATTTCTTCCTCTCCACAGCTTCTGTCTTTTCTGCTCTCGATCGACCCTTCTCCCCCTTCAGTCCTAATCGACTTCTTCTATTTAATCCCATCTCTCTTTTCCACGATCTCCGTCTCTCTCTCTCTCTCTCGCTCGATGCCCACGTCCCCCTCTCAATCACCCACTGTTGGTCTGGGTAGCAGCCCAAGGCTGCTGTTTCTTTTTATTTTATTTTCTTTTCTTTGCTGTTTCTTTCACACGGGCTGCTTCTTGATCTTTTCTTCATGGGCTACTTCTTAGGCTTTGCTTTTGGGCTGTGCAGCATGGCTGTTTGGACACAGTTTCTGTGCTGTTTGGAGACAGCAACTGTAGCTTTTGGCTGCTGTTTGGTTGAGTTGTTGTTTGGGTACAACAGCTGCTGTTTGGAGACAGCAGCAAGGCTTTTGGCTGCAGCCGTTTGGAGACAGCAACAAGGCTTTTGGCTGCGGCTGTTTGAACAAAAAAAAAACAACTAATCAATACATTTTTTCAACTTTAATGGCCTCATATAGTTGGATTAACTTCAATTAAATTAGCCATTTTTAAGCATATATTTAACATTAATTTCAAGGTAACTTTGACGTTAAAAAATGTATAAATTTGGTGTTTATCAGCTATAAATGCCCTGCTATTTCTATTTGCTTAATAAAATCATCGGGGTTCTTGAAGAATTCAGAGTGCCTTTTGCTTCGCTTAATACGCACCATTGCTAGCTTCAACAATGGTGGAATCATCAGATCTTCATTTATGGAGGAATGTGTCATTCAGTTCTTCATTTATCAAGAGCGAACAACATTTTACCATTGGGGAGAAAGATGTGAGGGGTGGCATTTGGGTTGCAGGTCTACTGTGTGAAGAGGAGGAAAATTGATTTCAAACCCAAACCCAGATTTTGCAACACCCCATCTCTATCTAGTTTTTTCCTTTTTTGCTTTTTCTCCACCGTTTGTGATGTATTGATCTAAACCAAAAAACAAGATTTCTGACAGGGACCAAAAACACAACAAAAAAAAACTCCCTCTACGGTTTTGTCAAACGACCAAAAAGAAAAAGGGAAAAGGAGTATCGAAGATTGTTTGAACTTTTGAGATTGGTTTTTGATACATTGAACATTTGCAATTGTCGAACTTTTACGATTTGGTTTTGATTGTTTTCTTTATTAACTTCAAATTTTTGGTCCTACATGGTATTGACACGGAATTTCCCATCCCTACCGAAACTGAACCGATACCAAACTAGTACATTCGACTCGGTATTCAGTCCTCACTTTTTGTCCAAAAAGCTTTCGGTAACCTATTCTAACAGATACTTTTAACAGAGGTAGTAAACAGGGAACACTTTCACAGCAAAATAAAAACCAGATTTTTCACTAATTTTAAGAAACAGTCCAACTCCTAAAGATACTTGTCACACAAATTTTCAAATTGTGATTACTAACAAGCTTCACTATTTCTTTTAGATAAAAGTTGCAATTTTTGAATTAATGAAAAAGGTAACAGAAACAAATAATGAAAAGACAAGTTTGCCCTTCGCCCAATGGTATCGAACAGGAGATCCCTATTACTTTAGACTTTACCCAATTTCAGGACCTTTACCCAAAATAAGTGCAAATTTCATGTTTCAAGGATAAAAATTACTTTGGTTCAACCAAAACAACGTAATATAAATTTCTCAAAATGTTGTTCTAAATAAAGGGGAAAATTGTACTAAAACTCCAAGAAAGAAAGAAACTGTTGCCACAGAAAAAGATACAAGAAATCCTAAAGCTTAGGTGACACCAGTTCTCATGGATGGAACACCAAATTGTTGAGAAAAAACCATTTGGAAACCACCATTGAAATCCTCCTTTCTTGTTGCTCAACTGCAATAAAACTGGAACATGCCAAGATTCAAATCAGTTTATTCGTTGTAGCTTATTGTAAGTTTTTTCAAATATTTGCTCATAGAATGTAAATTATGAGAAATTAGAAATCAATCGATAACACAAATATACAAATCAGGGTAGTAATGCTTCAAGTCATCAGAATAATATACAAAGTAGATCTTTGTGTTAATACCTGGCATGCCTTATGCCTAAGCCACAAACACAAGAAGTTGCATAACAAGATTGTAAATGTGTTCATAAAGCAATGATGATCCAATCAAATGCAGAAAGAACGAACAAAGAACCCAAATCCCCCTTGCAAAGTTAGTTACTACTAAAAAGGTCAAAAGCACACAAACTATATGCCAATCTTACATGTAATTATCAGAATGTAAAAACAAGTTGCATGCATTGCATTATTAGAGAAAACAAAAAAGAGTAGGCTTTTGTCATTTTGTTTTGTGTTTAGGCATTCAAGCAAGCATGTGAAAGAAAACACCATGACCATAATACGAAATTCATATCAAGTGAAACATCACCAAGCTTTTCAGTTGTATTTCTAGCGGACTGGTATGTTGACAAGAATTTTGCATCCAGCAATGTATGTTTCTTTTGTCAAAAGATAAAATGTATTGATATGGATCTTTGAAGAGATTCAAATCGAGAAAACAATGCTTGATAGAAACGTAAGCCAGCTTTCATAATTGAAATATGTTAAATACGGCGACAACTTATGACAATTTGAGTTATTGAGCATGAAAATTATGAAACAGTTGCTCTACCGGTAAGCAGTTTCTGAAAGCCTCGAACACGCAGTAATCACTCCATCTCAAAAAAAGTGCATAGCTTGACAACACATGGTTCTATAGAAATCTTTGATTAATAATCAAAACAGCTAAAATACCAGTTAATAAGACAAAATCAATCTAAAAAATACAAAAGGATAAATTTGGAAATTAACAACAAAAATTAGCAAGTGCTACATTGTGTGGGCCAAAAGAAGTAAATTAGGACTTCAAAAATCAACAACTTTATATCGTATAAACAGTTAAATTCAAGCATTATTAATTATATATGACCTAAAAACAAAAAGGGGACCAAATGAACTAAGTTCTGGCTTTGTTACAGCAACATAAACAATATACCTATGTTAGTGGATTGGATCAAGAGGCATTACAAGAAGGTCCATTCAATTCTATGTAGAAGCAGTGATTTAAGAAAGAAGAAACAAATAAGCAATAAGATTATTATAATACCTTAAATGTTGCTTGGGTACATGAACACTCTGACCCTCGATCCCTGCAAAATAGAAAATATAGCATTAATTGAGGCAGAAATTCAACAAAAGAGACCAAAAAACACATAATGCTGCTAAAATGACAATCTATAGTGTATGATTACCATGGATTTGGGAGGAAGATTGGACTTGAACTTGGCGCGAACAATACCAGTGTTACCATGGGGTCTAGTAACTTTTCCCCAAATGCACCGGTAGTGCGATCCGTTCCTCTTCACCTTGGCTTTGTAGATGTAGGCCATACGTTTCCCTTGGTACCATGATACCTCCTCCTTCGTGTTGACTCCTTCGATTTGGATCAACGATGTGTTCGGATACTGGTTCGACTTCGACCTAACCAAAATCACAAGTAACATCTATAAAACCTCAATTTCAATGTAAGAATCAACCAAAAAAGAAAGCAGAAAAAAAAAAAAAAAAAAAAAAACCTTTTATAGCCGAGAATCGTTCCTCGGGTGTAGAGTCTGAAAATTACAGAACGAAATCGTTAACAAATTGATCCAAGTATATTCATCTATAATGATCTGCAAATTAATTCGGGGAAAGCATTGTACCTGACGCGTTCTCCTTGGCGGCCCTTCACCATTTTCGCTTGACAGTAGAATCACCAACGCCTGCGCCGATGAAGAAACTATAAACCCTAGTGCCACCTACATGATGATTCTTTATATATGTCGAGATTAAATGGGCTTGATTTAGGGTTTCTGATTCGATTTTACAGACCAATATTTTATGGCCCAAATATGGGTAACATTTTACTTTTGGGTCCAAATCTCAAAAATCTATATCCAACGCTATTTATGAGATGTTTGAGATTACTTATAAAAACAATTTATTGACTTATTCTGATTTAGCACAGGTAATAAACACTTTTGAGTGTTTGGATAAACAGCTTATACCGGTAATAAGAAGTTTTGAAAAGTTAAACCATTATAACTTATAATAAGTTGATAAGAACTTTTGTAGAAAAGTATAAGTTGTTTCAAATAAGCAATCTCAAACACCCCCTTAATAAAACTTCAATTTTGGTCCTTAAAATTAGTTTGAAGATGAGACGTATCCTTTAATAGCTATAGAAATTGCTTTGAAAATGGTCCATGACGCTAACTCCGTTAGTTGAAGTGGGGTTAGTTGAGAGCATTTCGATCATTTTATGTTACAAAGAAGTTAAGATACAAGTATGTAAGGGTTGTGTAGAAGTGTGATTAACATTTAAAAATAACAAAGAATAGAACTTTTCCATCTCTCTCTCCTCCACACCACCCATCTTGCTTTCAGTCGTATATTCCAGTAGGAACGAAAGCAGATGGTGACTTCTCCTCAGCCCTCGCCCTTCCGATCATTTTCTCTTGTAGGGACAAAATCACAAGGGCTAACTGTTACATACGTAAAACCAGTAAGATTACACCCAAAACCCTTCCTTCTACTTTGAAGAACATAAAAACCAAAAAAATACACCACAGAGAGAGAGAGAGATGAAGGGAGAGATATATGTGAGTTCAAAGAGAGAGAAAGAGAGATTCAGAAAAAGAAAATAAATCGAAACCAATGGAGATATAACAAAAAGATGGTATTATAATAATATTTTTGCTTATTTGTTTCTTGTTTCTTAAATCACTGTTTCTACATGAAAAACTATAAATGTCACTACTTATGTTTTGACACTAGTTAATGTTGATACATATATCAGAATATTGTTGAAATCCATCCATTTTGACACAACTAATAATATGTATATGTGGTGTTTTTCCTGAGAGAGCTATGCAAGGGCGTAAAGTTTGCCCAACATGGCATACTTATCAATTTTCGAAAGGCATACTTGATTTTTGAAACACGTGGTAAGTCTGAAAACATATTGTTTTAACTATATTAACCTATGAAATAAAAGAAAGACGAAAAATTGTTATTATAAGACAGTTGTGTCTAGCACAAGCCTCAACCATTCTCTTTGTGTTATGTTACAAACCATAATATCTTCCGTTACTTCTATATCATTTTATATACCAATTACTTAATTATATTTTTCAATTATTTGTGTATTTCTCTAGACAGTTTTTAGTTATTAAACATGTTTGTTTAATTGATTTCCAGGGATCAGTGTTTAACCTCATCATGTTATATTATCAAACGGTAAGTCAGTACATTCATCTTAAATTTGTTTCCAAAACTTGTTGTGGGGGGGGGGTTAAACATAAATCTATATATTGCTATTCTATAAACTCTTAACCAGATAAATCAAACTGTATTAAATCAGTTTTTTTTAACATTAAAAAACAATAACATTAACTAGATTGGATCGTGTTAAGTTTTAACAACAAAGATTGTAACATAAAACTTAAAGTGGATTGAGATTATTTAGTGTAAGATCACTCGGTATCTTATCCATTTTTCATGTGAATGATGGTGACTCTTCTCAAGTTCTTGTTCTTGATATATCATACATCCCACGATTTCACATGGCTATGCATACCATGTGATCAATATTGAATTTTTGAACTCTTTAATATTTAATTTATGGTATATATATATATATATATATATATATATATATATATAAAGTGTCATACGAATAAATTAAGAAATGAACATGCCCAAATGGAATCCAATTGGTTTTGATTGGTCTTAACCTACATCGAATTGGATCTAAGCATGAACCCGACTTTTTAAAAGAGTTAATACATTTCCAGGTCACGTAGTTTGTTTATAATTTTGGTTTTCGTTTTTCAACTTCATATTTGTCTTTTGTTGTTTGTATTTTAGTTTGGTTTTTGTTCTTCCATCTCTCAGAAGTTATTTTAAGCCCGTTAAATGTCTCCCACATGACAGAATTTTGATCATCACTGTAACATAGATTCGATGAAAAGACGGTAGTGGATAGTTCTTTTTTATCAATGCAAACCCTAATCTATATTCACTGTTAGTAAAATGTCAAATTTTAGACGAAGATGAACAACATGGAGTTGCCTTTTATTTTGTCTATAGTTATTGAATTTTAATTTTGTTGATGCAAATTTTCTATTAAGGGGTTGTTTGACATTTACTGAATGGTTTAGTGTAGAATAATTAAGGGGTTTTCATGATATTTTGCAAAATAAAATATAATTATTTGTTAATTATTTACAATGAAATTAGGGCGCTCAATGGTTAAGAGAGACCTATGATACAAAATCATTCAGAGAGTTTTAGAACCATTAAGAAACAAACTTTTTTTTGTCAAACAAGATTCACTTCTTAAAGATTCAGAGACTGATTCTTAATGAAACTATTAAGAGGTAAATAAATAATCCTTTAATCATCATTAATGTTATTCTTGTATACTTGGTATATTATTAAATAAATTAATTACAATAATAATTAATTTGTATATTTTGGAAAAACAAAGTGTTTCATATAAAATAAATATTTTAGTGATGAATTTATAAGAAGAAAAGAAAAAGAAAAAAAATAAGCTTAACATATCTATTTATCTGGACGAGTTTTATGATAGTGGAGTATAGAATATCGACATGGTATGACAATTAATAACTAATATGATTAATCAGACTAAAGGACCGTTTATCTAAATACTTACTTGGTAAGCATTTACCAGTAAAATTCAACATTATCGCTTATTTATCATGTAAGATTTTATTAATTAAAATGCATCGTATGCGACAATTTATCCTGGTAAACGCTAACCATGGTAAAAGTCGTCATCCTCACTTACTGGGTAAGACTCTTGATTCTTGCTTTCGCTCTTACCGGGTAAGATTCTTAGTCCTTGTCATATTCATAGGGTAAAGTAAAGTGACTTGGTAAGTACTTACTCGGGTAAGCATTTGGTAAATGACACCTAAATGTTTCACTACTCTTGATGAGCTAAGAACCAAACCAAAAGTACCCATAAAGTATCACTTAGAAGTAGGGTTTGAGTAGGCATACATAATATAGGCGATATATATCTCTACCCCTAGGAATAGGAATACAAATACCATTTCCAACAAGACCTCCAACTTGTAAAAGGTTTAGGAACGTTTTAGAGAATTGGAAAAGGTTTTGGAAAATTTGAGACGTTAGAACGCACATATGTAAATATAAAAAAATATGAATATCAGCAATAAATACAAGTGATAGTGAATCTCAAACTTACAGAGAATTATAAGACCAAATGGCCAAAGAAATAGTATTGTATGAACCATTATGAATGTATGGATCCACGATAATGCGAAAGTCAGTCTTAACATTGGTACCAGTGACAACATAGCGTGACAAATTACACAGGGTGAAAAATCAATTACAAGTGTAAGGAATAAGCATCTTGTGGACGTTCGAATTCGTCCTAGTCAATCTTTTTGAAAATCCTTTCTTTAAAAGGATAAACATTTTTATTGGCTACTGAATAAAATTATACATATAAAAACACGTTTTGAATTTTATTCCAAATTGATCAAAACTCTCTCATCAAAATAGTAAAAGCAAACTTACCTGTTGAAGGTTCTCATATGAGAACTCCAAGTCATTTGTGGTCGTTCGAGAGATTAGTCGGTGAACGTAAGATGGCTTGAAAACCCATAGTTACAAAAAACATGTTGTATGAAATCAAGAACCTTGATCGATCAAGAGAGGCAAAACAAAATATTAAATGTGGGACGGAAGTTAACAAAAGAGAAGAAACTTTATTATACTGAAAGAGAAAAACAGATTACACTAGTTCTAGATGTTGATGAACTAGTTCAGACAATTTTTTCCATAATTCTAGAGCATCTATTAAGAGATATTAATAGATCCCTAGAACCTAATTTGATAAGGATAACTAAGAGTTTCCTAATCCAGGTCTGATAAGAAAACCCCTAAAGTCTCCAAAAACAAAAAAATTCAAGGCATTATCTCAACAACTCTCACCTTGACTTGAATTGTTTAGATGAACCAAACCATCTCCCCTTCTATGCAGACGTATCGGGAGGTACCCAAATTACTCTTTTAGAAATGCCAGATATTTTTCTGAAAGAGCACAGATGCTGATTTGCTCTTTGAGAAATCTCAGATTGTCCCTTTATGGGACTCAAATGCGCCCCTCAGGGATTCTTCCAGCTGTCAAAATTTAGCAAGTCTAAGCAGTGACTAAACTTGCTAAGTGGTATTGGCTTCTTTTTGAAAATACAGTGTTCACAGAAGGCAAAGTTTGTAACTTTGTAGACAGAAGGTTTCGTTTGGATAAGCTCTACATCCCCTTTTTACCCATGTGACCAAGTCCCATATGCCACAACTTAGTCATATTTCGGGAAGTTCCTGATGGAGAAGCTACATCAGCAGAACCAATCAATGTCATTGATGAATCTTTGCTTATGTTCATGACTCCACCTTCACCTGAAAACTTACAACCCTTAGCGTCCAAAACTCCAAGAGACATCAAGTCCTTTGTCAATTGTGGAATATGTCTAACTTCCATTAGGGTTCTGATTTTTCCATCATCTGTCTGAATTTGGATAGTTCAGGTATCCACGATTTTTCAAACGACATCATTGCCCATAACAACGTTACCTCCATTGAATCCTTCATAAGTGTCAAACCATTCCCTGCTAGAACACATGTGATAGGAGCAACCATAATCCAATACCCACTTATAAGTTTGATGAGGTAGAACTTAAACATGAAATCACACGGAAATTGCTTCCAAATTGATCCCAAAATTCAGCCTCTATCCTTAGCAAGAAATTCACATAGAACTCTCTCTCTCTCTCTCTCTCTCTCTCTCTCTCTTCAAACTTTCTAAAAATGATAGGAAAGTTTGCCTTTTTAAGATTTTACCTTTAAGTACTTGCCTAAAATAGGCGGTTGACGACTTTTTAAATAATATAATCCCACACTCTCACCTCCACATTCTCATGCATGCATATATACATAGGCACATAATATAAAACCCTTTCCCTTCATCTCTCTCTCACACACACACACACATATATATATATATGTATATATATACTAGAAGGGTATTCACGCAATGCAGCGAGATACATCTTGATTTTATTGTTTCGTTTTATATTTTGGGTCTATCGATGTTATAATGCGACTTTATGTGGTTTTGAGAAAAAAAAAATGTTTTTATTTTGAATGAAATATAAATTTGAAGAAATTATAAAATTTTGAAAAAAAATAAGCAATATTTGTATCAAATTAACTATTTAAAAGTTATTGTTTTTGTGTAATTTATTTAATTCAAATTTTTATTATAATTTAACTAAAGTTTAAAAATGAACTAATTTATTTTTGGTTTTATAAAATAATTTATCTAAAATAATAATTAAGTATTCTGTTAAAACTTAATGATTATCTTAATTATGTTTTGGATTTTTAATATTTAAAATGAGATGTTTATCCTCTATTTGATTATGTTTATCCGCAGTTAGTTACACAAATTCAAACATGAAGTTTTAATAAGTTGTACTTATGCATAATTTACTTGTAATTTTGAATTTTAAGTAATATGCATCAATATACAGTACTTCATGCATAAAAAATTGGTTTTTAAGAGTTTTTGTCAAATGTTTTATAATATAGTATTGATATACAAACCCATGCATGCATGCATATACAAATATGCACATACTCATATTCACACACATATACCCACATCATGGATTAATTGTAACAATTAATCACACATTCAATAATCATGTAACCAAATAATCAAATAATTAACTTAGATGTATAACCGGAACCCGATTATCACAAACTTGATCACCAAGTTCCAAAAATCAGTCTTCATATGCATCCAACAGCTTAATACATTAAGCTCTCCAAAAAGCACTTCGCCCAAAGCTGTCAGCCAATGTTGTAGCATCACATGAAGACAACAAGCCTTCCCACAAGGTAAAATTAGCCTATTTATTGTAATAAAATAGGTTAACCACATCAATCAGCTTCATGACACAATAAATGGAAAATAACATAAGAAAAGACTCAAGGTTGGGATATAAAAAGTAAATAAACTATCTAAAAAGGATAAGATATGAGTATAATATATTGAATAATCAACACATATCAACAAGCAATGCATGTCAAACTCGAAAAGGGTAAAAGGCTACCAGAACTTTATTGGGAACTGTATCGATCTGATCCAGGGCCTTGGGTGCTGGAATAATAGAAGCAACATTTTCAGTATCATCCTTCTTGACTTCTTACGCCAAAGGTTTCGGTGGCTCCAGGATGTCTTATACTAGCTTACCTTTGGTTTCTTTGACTGCGAACCCGAAATCTGTTGCCGGCTCTTTGGGATCGATATAGGTTTCTTGTTACGGTTCTGTTATGACGAGATGACTTCATCTTTGACTTTGTGAGATAAGACTTCGTCTTTTATCTGGTATATTCTCACGTATAGACAATTGCTTGCGTTGAAAAGAAATTAATTGGATACCACGGTGATTATGGTTGTTGCGTGGAACCCTGATCGATTCTTCATGTCTGTCTCTTCTTTGATGGTGGCCATTACTAAAGTTGGGATGGAGTTTGTTAACAGCCTCTGTCATGGTAGTGATAGCTGTGGTAATGACTGAAGTCATATTTGTTACATATGCTTTGGTAAGGGTTGTTGATCTGCCATTGTTACTGAAAAAGACAAGAGAAACCTACTCTGATACAAAATGACACAACAAAGTTTGTGGAAAAGGGTCGACAAACGTCTAAACCCTAAAAGGATAACGACCTACAACCGTAGCACTCAGAAAATTAAGATGAAACTCTTAAAAGTAGAGATAAATTTCTAAGGATAATTTCATTGATCAATAATAAATTGAATATCAATGAAAACAACAAAACCTATTTATAGACTAAACTAACTAAGAGTTAACTAAGAAATTATGTCCAAATCTAATCCTAATCTTAAACCAACCATCAAAACAAATAAATAATCACTAAAACTAATAAATAATTATCCTATACTAATTAAGAAACAAAATAAACAAATAAAAAAATGTGCAGGAATTGTCACGACATGGGTACGACCTGGCACACAACACGAGCAAGTCGCGGGAGAAGTTGTGCAGTAGACTGTTTTTCAGTTTCCAATACAAAATTACAAGTTTTTTCAGAGCTTGTTTTCTTCTCTTCCAATGATCTGTGGAAAACCTCGTTAACTCTCTCATCCTGTCTTAATCATTAGCAATAGAAAATTGTTGTTTATAAACATCGATTATGGGTTTTTGTATATATATATATTTTTTGAAACTAATTATTACAATTTCAAATTTCAGTACTTAATTTTGATGTTTGAATAAAATGATTTTGAACTATCTAATTAAAGAGCAAATAATCCATTTTTAATCTAAACAAACAAGGTTTGTTTTATTTATTTAAGTTTTTGAAAATAAAAAGTTGTAAAAAGTAATTTCTTAAAATCGATTGGTCTTTTAGGTAGCGTTTGGTACGCGTACTGGATGGGAAGGGACAAGACAAGACCTGACTGGACATGACTAAATTGTCTATCCTACGTTTGGTACGACTAGAACAAAACTATAAAACTGTTAAAATGATCATATTACCCCTAAATCATCAAAACCTTGAATCAAGTCGGAGGAGGCTTAACGAAGTCAGATGGTACATGATCCATTGCTAGAAAAAGACACCTTCACAAAATGTATGCTTTGAGCATGAACCCCAAACACCGTATCACGTTTAATTTCCCTCCTAGCCCTCTTATAGGGTTGTAGTCATCAAGGTGAAATGTATCATAAGCGAAATCACAAAAAGCATTCTGGAGTGGTATATTTCCTGTATCTTCTTCAAGTTCATCGATGTTGTCTTCTATAGTCAGTGCTGATAATACTCTCCGAAACAATGGGATGAATTCTCTAGATGTTTTATCATAATCAAATTGGAGGAGCATTCACAAAGTCAGATGGGGGAGGAGGCTTTACAAAGTCAGATGGTGGGAGATGGCTTCACGAAGTTGGTCCTGTGTTGCCGGAGAAGGGATACACCCCTATGTCACCGAAGAAGGAAATGGATGTGTTCACAAGGCAGGGCCACCACCATTTCGTTGATCTTGATGCATTATAAGCCAATGAAGGATTCAGATGTGAAAAACACTTGTAATCGTACTTGGATGCTCCCTCTCAATATCTTCTCTATCTCTCTCACCACTATTAACCAAAACCCAACAACCATTTTTTGCGGTTGTCATGGATGGAAAAATAGAGGGTGGTTCATACCAGTGATGGTGGGTGATGTAGTAACAGATCCATAACCTATATCAATGAGCCATAACCCAACGGATCTAAAACCCAGATTGATGATGAATAGAAGCAACGTGGTAAAAAATGGGGTTGATAGGGAAAGAAGGCTAGAAATCTATTTCATACAAGATGCTTATGATTGTTGCTGGGTCGGTAGATGAGATGCTTTGATTTGGGTTTTGTTCCAACAGGGTTTAACAGTGGATAATGGGAGTGGAGTTTGACGGCTGTTATGGCCCAAAGAGATGATGAAACAATGGTTAGAAGCTTTGAAACCGTTAGGTTTCTTTGAGGATATAAAATTAATTTTGTAATTTGTCCCATATTATTTCACCCTTTTTGGTAGAACAAAAAATCTCAAGATTGTCACACCTTGTCCTATGTTCTTTTTGTCTATGACATGCCAAACGTACGACTGTTTTTTTTGTCCCGTCATATCCCATATAATCTATATACCAAACGCACCCTTAAAGTGAATATCAAAAACAAAAAGAAAGAAAAAAGAAAAAGTGATGTAATTTGTGGATATTAATAAAACGTATAACTTAGAGAAGTGGTGATGGATTTAGGGAGTTTGGCCCACTAGAAAAGATCCAAGAGAACGTGCATGACATGATTAAGGTATTTGTTTATTTAAGCAAAATAATGAACATCCATTTCTCCCCAAACCTCAACACGTGTCACCACCACTTTATCTACAAACCGCCAAACTAATCGCCGGTGCAAAGTGCTCCCCCGACACCCATCTCTATTAACCTCGATTGGATATGCAAATGTCACCGCTCCACCACCCGCCGGCCCCTCATGTCCCACTAATTAATGCTAATTATTCCATAAACAAGAATATAGTTATATAACTTAAAAAACCTTATAAGATGCTAACACTTGACCTTTTCTTTAACGGCAATCGGTTATATATTATATATATATATATATATATATATATATATGCAAGTGAAATCTTGAAAATTTAGAGGCAGTAAAGCGTGCGGACACGACACATGAGATAGAGAGATTGACGTTAGGAAAACGGTCGCTGGTCGGCAGGTGGTGTATCGTTTTCAGTTTTGTGTCACTCCCCCTCCTCCATTGACATACTATTGAATTTCTCACCATTCCTTCTAATTAAACTCCACCACCCCTTACCATTCTCTCAAACTAAACAACCCATCATGAGGACTTTGTGTCCAAACTTGGCTAACCAAGATGCTCTAGAAACTGTGCTCGAAGTTCCCATCCCGGAGGAGAGTTTCCATGCTACCAATGACACCAACAGCACCGCCTCATGGCGGAGCATGAAACCACCGATTACACCTCATTCAACCGACTACGGTGGTCGGAATGCTGAAATTCAGCTGTTGCTTGGAGTCGTTGGTGCACCTCTCATCCCTCTTCCCATCCCTTCCGGTCACCCTAACTTCATCAACCCAAACATCAATGACCACCAACCAATCGTAAGTCATTTATATTTTCTGTCCATCGGTTATTATAACTCACATTTTATGATTTTGACGGTGGTGATCGACGGATTGTGTTGTGTATAGGAGGCTTCAATGGCGAAATATATCGTGCAACAATATATAGCGGCGACGGGAGGAGAAAGAGCTCTGAATTCAGTGGACAGCATGTTTGCGGTGGGGAAGGTGAAGATGGTGGCGTCGGAGTTCATAGCCGGAGACGGAATAAGTATGAACTGCAACGGTCTGAGTCTGGGTGGCAGCGTGATGAAAATCAAGAGTGTGAGAAACGGTGGTGGTGAAATGGGAGGTTTTGTGCTGTGGCAAAAGAGACCCAACCTTTGGTCTTTCGAGCTGGTGGTTTCCGGTTGTAAGATCAGTGCCGGCAGCGACGGGAAGGTGGCATGGAGGCAGACTCCATGGCACCAGTCCCACGCCTCTCGTGGACCCCCTAGACCTCTCCGTCGTTCCCTACAGGTACTGCCCTGCACCCCATAATTAAACCCTTAATTTAATCACAAATTAGCCAACTTTTTCAGGAAAAAACAGTCATTAGAGTTCCTAAAATGGCTATTTTAATGATTAATTAACCTGTTAACCATTTTTAATTCGATTGAAGTTAAACTAACAGTTTAATATCGCGTTTATTAATTAAGCAAGAGTTGTTGGTATCTACCATCTAAAATTGGTTGTGGATGATGCACCAAATATAAATGAATTTATGACTTCTTGAGTTGGTATGATTTGACCTTCAAAATGCTTACATCATCCTGCAAATTAACCGATGTGCCATCCATTTTCAAACCATGATATATTTAATCTTATAAGCTGGGTTTTGAACCATTTCTCGAATGTTGATAGGGTCTTGATCCAAGATCAACGGCCAATTTGTTCACAAACTCCATTTGCGTTGGAGAAAAGACCATCAATGGAGAAGATTGCTTTGTGTTAAAGCTTGAAGCCGAGCCTTCATCTCTGAAACAAAGAAGCAGCAGCAATGTGGAGATCATACACCACACTGTTTGGGGGTACTTTAGTCAAAGGACAGGCCTTTTGCACCATCTTAAAGACTCGCATCTCATTAAAATCAAAGCACTTGGAAGTGACAACGTCTTCTGGGAAACAACCATGGAATCATTGGTTCAAGATTACAGAGTTGTCGATGGAATCAACATTGCTCACGGTGGCCGCACGACTGTTTCGCTGTTCCGTTCTGGCGAGAAATCCGAGAGCCATTCACGAACCAAAATGGAAGAGGTTTGGATGATCGAGGACTTGGATTTTAACATAAAGGGTCTCTCGATGGACTGTTTCTTGCCACCTAGTGACTTAAAGAAAGTTGTCGATCAAGAAACCGATGATGTCGTGAGCAGTGACACCAGGAATGCTCAATTCACCTCCAAGAATAGAGGCATGAGGTTTGGTGTTTCGAAGGTTATGGATTTCGATCCCACCAGATAGTTGGGAATGACGGAAGAATTAAAAGTTTAAAATACCGATGTCTTATAATTTGTTTATTTTGTAAATACGGTGTTTGTCGAAAGTTCGTTTGAGCTTCTGCTACAAAACTAGATAGATTTGTGTTTTTTTCGCATTGTGTGTCGACACGAAAAAACAATCATTTTTGTCATTTGGATTTTTCTCCATTTGTCAACGTGTATACTAAATCATGGTGTAATAGAGAACATACATCCTTTTTTTTATCAACGGACTAAAGGAATCCATAAATTTAGTATAAAGTTTGTAGAGTTATTTCAATTGACAATAACGCTCAGGTATATACGGATCCTTTTAAAGGTTACGTGTTCGAATCTTTCAAGACAGTTGGGGATGTTTTTTTGCCTGTTCTCCATGATCTCTAAAATCAGTTGAGCTGCGCACAAACTCTACCGCACACCCATGATTAATAAAGAAGTAGTCTTGTATAAATATTATGACAAGAATCAATAAATCCAATTTGATTAAAGGTTCCCGGTCTTGTGTTTTGTGCTGTATTTGATTAAAGGTTCCTTGAATATGTTTGTTACGCCTTTTATACCTGTGATATATAAAAATGCATGTTTTGAGTCCCTCCCTCTTTTGTCTATTTCATATTAGAAAATAAAAATGTGTATATCTATACTATATTATAAAGCATTTAATAAATACTCTTAAAAATCATTTTTTTATGCATGAAATACTGTTTGTTGATGCATATTACTTAAAATTCGAAGTTACAAATGAATCGTGCGTCATTACACCTTATTAAAGCCTCGTGTTTGAATTCATGTAATTAACTGCAGATAAACATGATCAACTATATGATAAACATCTCATTTTAAATATAAAAAATTTAAAATATAATTAGGATAATCATTGAGCTATAATTATAACAGAATATTTAATTATTATCTTTATAAAATTATATTATTAAACCAAAAATTAATTAATTTGCTATTAAACCTAAATTAAATTATAATAAAAAAAATTAATTAAAGAAATTACATAAACAACGAGAATTTTTTAAATAGTTTATTTGATATACTAATATCAAATATATTTTTTTAAAATTTTTATGAATAAAAATATTATCGCTTTATCAAAATCACATAAGATCGTATTATATCGACAAAGATAAAAAAAAAAAGTATTATCTCGATGTATCTCGATGCATTGCGCGAATATCCTTCTAGTTATATATAACAAAACTTGTTTGGGTACCCACACAATACGCTAAGATGTCATTTTTTTTTTGTAAATCAAGAGTATGAAGTTTAATGCTCATCATAAACTCCAAAACTTATAATTAAAATGCAATTGTACTTACAAAAAACAATTGAACCTAAAGTTCAATGTTATTTTAAATCTAAAGAAGGAAACCTAAAGTTAAATGTTATTACAAACTTTAAAGAAAGAATCAAAATTATGATATTTTATACTAGTATTAAATTAAAAAATATTTAATAATGAGCTCATTTTGAAGGTACTGATAAGACAATCATAATAATATAATTTGTAAAAAAAAGAAAAAAGCTTTTAATGTGTTTTAGTTAATATATAATTATATATTTTAATATGATAAATATGTAAAATACAAAATGAAAAAGTAAGGAAGATAAAACAAATTAAATAAATAACTATAAGGTATAAACTACAAGTTTAAAAAATAATTCAATAAATATTTATACTATTTAATAATGTGATTAAGTTAAAAAATATTCAATATTGGGTTCGTTTTGAAGGTATTGATGAGATGATTATAATCGTGTAATTTGTAAAAAAAAACATATTATTTAATGTACTTTAATTCATATAAGGTTGTTTTGCAATATAATAAGGATGTAAAATGAAAAAGTAATAAATATAAAATAATTTAAATAATTAACTATTAAAATATAAAGTATAATTTTAAAATTAAAAATGATTTTATTTAGGGTATTTTATTTAAACACCCCTTTAATTACTAATTAGACACCTGTCTATCTAATAATTACTTTTTATTTTTCTTATTTTATTTACTTGTATTCATTGTTTAATAATTTTTGTATTTTATATTTTCTTTAGATAAGTATTATTTATTATTACTATCATTAATTTTTTTTATTAGTAATATATATATATATATATATATATATATATAATTAAAAGAAAAAATTGCATCAAAATGAAATCATTTTCACCTAATTCTTGTTTTGGAGAACCAACTTTTAAAATTATCATTTAGAATCTCTATTAAACTTTTTAATTTATATAAGAGTCTGGTTAACCTGCTGAACAAGTAACCGCTAATTTAATATGACTTGACAGAAAATTACTTAAAAAATATTATGCGGAAATTATTTTTGCCAAATCATCGTTATCATTAAAACAAATCAAAATTAGAAAACTAATCGCCGCTTCCAAAAAGTGATCGTCTCCTACCTTTTGGAAAACCATCTCTCTACCGGAAACAACACTTGGCTACCATCACATCTTCTTCAATAGCTTCTCCTCTTCACCTTCCCTCTGTGGCCCCTAATTTCAAGGTATGCATCCTTCCCCTTCTCTCTAACTTTCGTATTCTATATTGACATAGTAGTAAAGTACCAAAATTGTATACGATCTGTTGCTCTTCGTATACTTTGATATTGTAATCAAAGAGATTATGATATTCAAGAAACATCTATGTGGTTCTGACTTTCAATTACGAACGGGGTACTTGTGGGTTTGGTTTGAGGGTCATAAATCGAGTTCTGGTGTCAGCATTCGTACGGGATTAAGGGTTTCTGCTGAAGGTAATAAACGAAACAATCCTCCATTTTTTAGCGTAATTCTTACTTTTTTAGTGGTTTTGTTTGTCTTTATTAAATATTTTTTGGATCTTTAAGCATGTTTATGTTTGACGAGGATTTTAGTTGCAATGTGCTTATGCACACCATGTGTTTGTATGAAGTACTGAAAAGAGGAGATGCATTTTAGTCGATATGTTCCTAGCAATTTTATCTTGCTACCGTTATTTTTGTATTGAGATTTTCAAAAAGTTTATTTCCAGGTTTGAAAATAACTAATATGAAGATCAAAGCGGCTATAAATCATGGTGGCTTGTTCCAAACAAATCCATTCTCATATCATTTACACTCCTACGTGGGAGATAACTCAGGGGCGTGGGGAAAACAATTACTTCGAAGCTCACTTTGAAGCTTGTACATGGTGCAAAAGAATCGGTACTCATTACAATAAAATCGACTTTACAGGACACAAAAAAATTTAAACGTCCTAATAGACTGCTTTATAAGACTTAGTTTATAAGACCAAAAAATAAAATCTTCTATCGAAAACATTGTAATAAGTTTATACGACGTTTTTGGGTGTATTAACAATTTTTTAGAGCGCTTTTAAATAAAACATCACAAAAAGTGTTCTATATGACAATTTCTCAAATGTGTCTTATAAAATTGCTAATGTGACTTTTTTTTATTTAGTGTCCTAAAAACAGACCCATTCCTAATATTTTATAGGCCATGGATGAGATGTAAAAAGGAGTCATCGATGAGTATGGAAAAAGAATCTTTAATACTCCCCCCACCTCAAAATAATGTCCACATTTTATTTATATTTGGCCCAAGATAAGTGTCAACTTTCAAAAATAAATAACCAAAATCTCAAATTTACCCTTAGTTAATGCACAAATATTTAAAAGTTGAGAATATAAAAAATTAAATAAGGGCAAAGATGTCATTTGGTTGACCAAAATGTATAATGATTATACATATCTAAAACTGTATGTCATTTCGATTGTGGACACGTAAGGAAGCATATTATTTTTATCATTAGAAATAACATTGAATTCAAGAAATACTAATAATTCATATAAAACTGTTTTAATATAGTATTCCTAGATGTAAAATTAATCAGTAATCTTATATATATTAAAGAAGAAACCACGTCGAGTGACGTGGCCTCTTCTAAGGGCTGAAAACTGATTTCTCTCATCTCCCCTTTTCTCAAGCTTTATCAGTTAATATTTACTTAAAACCCCTCTATATTCACCGACTTTCTTTTTCTTTTCCGTTTCCGTTTCCGTCTCCATTTCCTTTTCCTTTCACCCTCTCCTTCAAAATAGGGTYTTTGTTTTCTCTCTCCTCAACCTGCCGCCTCTCCTCCTCCATCCCCCTCAACTTGCCTGATGACCCCCTTAAACTGCCCTTGCTTCCACATCGTTCCATTGCAACCGCCAGTTCCGCCATCACCACCACCACTTTCGTTGATCCGAGTATGGCCGGAAGTGGGTTTCTTCTCCAAAACATATTAAGGAAAGTTGATATTTGTTACTACTACTTACCAAGATTATATTAACTATAAATACTGATAAAAGTTTCCATAGATAATTTTGTTTCTGTTTCTGATTCATCATCTTTGCCTTTCTGTTCGAAGTTACTTCCAAGCATATTGCTTTCTTGGCATCACAATCCCCCCTCAAAGTTCTTTTAAAAATATTTGAGTTTTATTTTTGGAACTGTATATTGTATCATGCATTTCATTGGCTCTCTGTTATGAATCAACATTCCTTCTGTTTTTATTATTCTCAAATGAGTTCACTTTTCCTTTTATAATGTGATGCATTTTAAAGTTGGAAAATTGAAAAATTAACTATTGTTAACTATTGGAAAACATGTAGCCATGTATACTATATTAGTGGAGATGCATGGAAGGAAGGAGGCATTGATGCTACTGGTAAGAATTCTCTGCATCTTTGCACTTAATATATATTAACTCAAAATTATATTGGGACAAAAACAGAAATAAAATAACAGTGGAGTAGGATAAATGAAGTAACATACCACTGCTTTCTATCTCCAAAAAGAGAGTTTTTTTTTTCAGAATGCTAAAATTTCATTCACACATTCTATCCACATATTTTCCATTATGTATTATTTAACTTACGTCATTGTGTAGCCGTTTTCCCTTACGGAACCATAAAAAATGCTAATAGCATTGGAGATTCATCATATTGAACTGGTTGGCCATATTAACAAGGCTTCGGTTTCTAATCTGTGTGCGTTGAGTTTGTTATCTTTTTGTGTGTTGTGAGTATTCTACACTAAATCACATAACAATTAGTAATATTTCTTGGATGTG